AAAGTTATTACATGAGTTACATATTTAACAGGTACAGTAGTACCAAAATGTTTTAGTAGCAGCAAAAAATATTTTGTGGCAGCCTGCTAGAGATAAATGTGTATATGCGAAACGCTGCAGCTCTAATGTTTTATTTCGCGGTGCTGATCAATGCCATCATTGATTGGTCTTTTGGATTTAAGACGTTATGGGTGATCACAAAAATCTGTCTGAAACGAAGAATCTCGGCTGATCCAATCCAGCCGATCAGATCTGCCTAATGTCAACCTCAGTCACTGGAGCAAGCTGATAAAAGTTCAGTGGAACTTTGGTCTGGACCTTGCGTGGGCCATTTGAATACATCAATATTCTTTGAGCTAAACCATTCCGTTGAAGCTCTAGTGGCTTTGTGTTTAAGGTCACTAACTCGCCTTCCCCTCTCAAGTCTTTTGCAGCCTCCAACAAGTTTTCTTCCAGGTTTGCCAAAATGTATTTAACACCATCCTTCTTCCTTGCCATCTACCCCAAGGAATTTACTCGTCCCTGCTAAAGAAGAGCATCCCCGCAGCATATTGTTCAGCCACCTGCACTGTTGGATTCACCTGGCGCTTTTGGATTCACCTGGCGCTTTAAGAGGGGCGGGGCTGCCACTGACAGCTGACCGTTCGCGCAACATATAAAAAGCAGCATCGCATTATGTTAAGTTAGTAAATACACTCGCTTCGTCGTCGGCATGGCCCAATGGTAAGCTACGTGTGTGCTTTACCAGACATGTAAAGTTGGCTTTTAGATTCGATCATGATCATCGGTTGCTTTGTTTGTCTGCTTTACATTGTGTCCGTTGTGCTTTATGTTTGCCGCATCGCTATGCAATCACTGTCAGTTACCGTTCGCAATCGGCAATTTAAACTTTAAATAGCTAAAGTGTTGCTAGAACGGTGGTTTCTTTATTTGGATCATTTTGCATAGTTGTCATGTTTGTCCGGCTTTAAGTAATTTGCGTTGCAGCTGGGCTTAATCATGCCGGCGCTCCACTTCCGGGTTGGACCTCTGGGACTTGTAGTTCTTTTGTTCGAGTCGCCTTGATATGTTTGGTTTCTTACGTTTAAGATAATAATGATGACGATAATAATACACAGTGAAATCATGGTTGATTAAAGTATTTATTAAACATGTTGTTAAAATAAAAGTATTAATTAATGTCAATTGTATACATATTTACATCGTGATGCAGAAAGATAGATATATTCATTTTTTTTGACTGCATTTATGTGTGCTTTAGGTTATTACCTGCTTCTGCTACTGTTTCTGATACTACTACTACTACTACTGCTGCAAAGAGCTCCAATAAATGTGTCAAAAACGTACAGAAAGAGTGATCCTTCCATGCTGACCGACGATCCCTATTCAGAGGGCCGTGAAAGAACGGAATTAACTGAACAGTAATAACCATCGGGTTGGATAGGATTCCCCCGGTGAGTTTCAAGCCTTGAAGAGGAATCACTCTCCAAGCAAACACCTTGTCTATTCAATCCTGAGATTGGCCAAAGGAGCACCGCCATCTCGTGGGAAAGACCCTGGTAAAGTAAGCTCTGGTCAGACTAGGAAAATGGACTCCCGTGAACTCGAAACCCTCAGAGTGAAGCGCTCTGCTGCGCAATCTTCTTTCACGAAGAGGGCCAATAAGCTTGCCTCCAGAGTCAACCTGTTGGGAGAGAAAGCCCTAATTGATGAGCTGAAGGCCCTTGAGGTAGACTATGAGAGGGTCAGTGATACAGGATACGACTATGCTGAAGCCCTCAGTGCGGTAAAGGGAACCGAGGATGAAGAGGGCAAGGCAGAAGAAGCGGCCTGCATCACAGAGAAAACAGCTGAATGCCTGCGGAAGTACACCGAAACTGTTGAGCTCATCCAGGAAACAATCTGGACGAAGTTCGCTGCAGATGACATCAAGGAATGTATTTCCAGTGCAGAAGCTAAAATGGTTCAAATGGAGAGCTGCGACATAAACAAATTACATAAAACTGACTTTGAGCTCACCAGAAATTGCCTGAGGGAGAGGGTTGACGAGCTCGAGCAAAAATGCAGTGACTGGGATGCATTAATTTCATATACCAACACAAAGTTGTTGAAGGAGAAGGTTCGAGCTCTGTGGCGCCGAGTTAGAGACTTTGAGGATAGCTGGCAAAATCCAGGAGACGCAGAAAAGTCGTTCGACGGTGTGGATGACAAGGTCCCACTAGAAAAAGAGTCAGACAAAGCAAAAAACATGCTTGATCCTGTCAGCCCCACAGAACCTCCATTCACCAGTCTCAGTCTCAAGCATGAACTTCCTTCAGGCAACACCACCCCAAGTGCTCCATTTAATCCCACACCAACAACCATCTCAAATCCAGGTGTCAAAATCCAGACACCTAGTGGACCAGTTGGTGGCAGCATTGGAACAGCATCAAGTGCCTTGAACACACCGCCAAGGGACCAGAGTGCTCCACGAGGTAACCCTGACATGTATCCTGGAGGTTACGGGTCCAGAAATCGGTTCCCTCTCGAGAGAGCACGGCTCCCCACATTTTCAGGTGACATGACAGATTACTTCCGGTGGAAGGCGGAGTGGGGAGAACTGGAGCAATTGGGAAACCCTTTTAGGACGGCAAGTATAACAAGATTCCATCTCCTAGGAAGCCTTAGTGATAAGGTGAAGAAGGACCTGGTCCTGTCCAGCTGTGGGTCCGCTGAGGAAATGTTCCGGCGTTTGGACAACAGATACGGGAACAAAGCAAGAATCGTCCAAACAATAGCAAATGAGGTGCAAGGCCTAGCCCCCGTAAAGGGAAATCACCCTAGGAAAGCGATAGAGCTAATCCAAACGGTGGAAAGGGCCTTAAGCAACCTTCTTATCTTGGGTGAAGAGGATGTGATGAAGAACCGACTCGTGGCACAGTCACTTGAGAGTAAGTTACCAAACTTTCTAAAGGAGAAATGGGTAGCTTACAAGAACGAGCCAATGAATGGCTTTGCCCAGCAGAACCACTTTGAGTGCCTTCTCCAATTCCTAAAGAGACAGGAGGTCATTCTTGAGGAGCTGGACCAGTTGGAAACAAGTCTTGTAGAAAAGGCTCCATCTGAGAAACGCCCGATAGAAACAATTGAGAAAAGGGCTAAGAAGGCTTTCTCCAGAGTCACTGCAGGTCAACGAGGTTCTCCGGGAAGGCTGCAAACCGCATGCTCTGCCTGTGGTGATGAAATGCACACTGGAAGGCTTTTTGCATGTAAAACATTCAGGGATATGGACCTGGCAAGAAGAAAGTCTCACCTAAGGACCCATGGAATATGCAATCGATGCATCAGCATTCATCCAACGAATGGCTTTTGCAACTCAGGGTTCCTTTGCAGTAAAGCGGACTGCCGGCAAGACGAGGCTCACCACTACCTGCTCTGCCCCAGGTTCGCTACCCAAAAAGACGGTGGCAGTAAAGTCCCAATGAAAGTGGCAAAAAGGCCTCTTGGCCTAACAAGCCAGCAGGAAGAGTTTCTTGCGACACTATCCCCAGAGCAGAGGACAGAGTGCAGGAAAGTCTTCTCAAACAAAACCACCGCAGCGATTTGCACCAGTACTGGAAGTGTACCAAAAGAATATCCAGTGCTAATGATGCTCCTCAAGGTTACGTCCAATTCTGGCCATCTGATTGGTACGTTGATTGACCTTGCTTCAGATACCAATTACATCACAAACATTGGAGCCAAGCGTTTAGGACTATGTGGAGAGGACATCAAATTGATTGTGCACGGAGTTGGCGGGATGATGAAAACGGTCATGACCAGGAGATATACCCTTCGGTTGAGAGTAGAGACTCCTGAGGGAACAGTGGGAGTGCACAAGATTGTCTGCTATGGCCTGGAGAGCATCGCAGAGGTCAGCCAGAAAGCAACACCACACCAGCTTCAAGGCTTCTTCCCTGGTGTTGCTGCTGAGGACTTGGTCCGGCCCACCAAAATCGATCTCCTCATTAGTCACAGGGAAGGTCGCCTGGTCCCACAACCAGTTCAGAGAAACGGGGACCTGATTCTCTGGGATGGCCCACTTGGAAAGACAGTTGGCGGGACCCACCCTGGCCTTGTTGAGAGGGTGGAACTAACCTTCCGCCAATCCGACACTCATTTCGCAAGGTCCATGAGAACTGCCTCAAAAGTGTATGAGGAGGTTCTTGTGGACTCAAGTGATCCAAACCTTCTGTTGACAAAGGACGAAGAAGTCATTAGCCACACCACTATAGCTAACAAGGAAGTGTTAGAGTGGTTCAGGTGGGACAGTATCGGGGCAGCGTGCGATCCTCAATGTGGGGGCTGCAAATGTGGCACGTGTTCCCCAGGAGGAAAGGAGATGACTCTTGGAGAAGAAAGGGAGTTGGAGAAAATCAAGAATTGCCTCACCTACGTCCTAGCGGACAAACACAGCCAGTCACCCCACTGGGACGCTGCGTATCCCTGGCGAGGAGACCCGGCCTCTCTCCCTGACAATCGCAGAGCTGTGGAGGCTACTTTCAGGAGAACCGAAACTAGGCTGGAACGAGAGCCCGCCTGGAAAGCAGCGTATAGTGAGCAAATCCACGACATGGTCAGAAGAGGTGCAGCCGTCAAGCTCTCAGAAGAAGAATTGATGTCCTGGAAGGGCCCAAAGTGGTACATTAGCCACTTGGTCGCTCCAAACCCCCACTCTGCCTCAACCCCTGTCAGGATAGTGTGGAACAGCAGCCAGGAGTTTCAGGGTTGGAGCCTGAATGACCTTCTCTACAAAGGTCCAGATGTACTTAATCCAATAAGAGGAGTTCTCTTACGGTTCCGAAGCGGACAACATGCTGCCCTGGGCGATGTACGAAAGATGTACAACTCCGTTTGGCTGAAGGACAAAGAAGTCCACTTACATCGATTTCTGTGGAGGGATGACCCCCAGAACGAAATAGAAAAGTTTGCAGTCGTCCGAGTGAATATTGGCGATAAGCCAGCAGGCTGTATCGCCTAAGTCGCAATGCGACAGACAGCCAAACTACCACAGTTCTCATCAATGCTCAAAGAACGCAGAGTCATTGAAGAGGACTGTTACGTTGATGACATCCTGACATCAGACAATGAAATCGATGCGCTGCGAAAGATAACTGTTGGTGTTGAGAAGATATTGAAGGCTGGGGGGTTCTCTCTAAAACCCTGGTCTTCTCTGGCCAAAGTGGGAGGGGGGAAGCCCCAGGCAGTCCCCAGTCTGGCTGTCCAAGCGCTCCGACAATCCTCATGCTCCCAAATCAGCTGCAAGAGGAGGACAGTAAAGCCCTTGGCGTTGGGTATGAGCCTGAGTCAGACAAGCTTCGCATCCTTGCTTCAATCAACTTCTCAAAGAAAAGGGGGAAGATGAGGACTGGGCTTGACTTAAGGGAGGAGGAGGTCAGGAGGAGCACTCCTGAGCCACTGAGCCGACGTTTGCTTCTTGGCCAAATCGCCAGCCTCTATGACCCAATTGGTCTAGTCACCCCTGCAAAACAGAAAGGAGTAATCCTTGTAAGAGAATCCTTTCAAGAAGCAAGAAAAGATCGTCCTGTGAAAGACACATGGGATGACCCGCTGTCACCAAGACTCCGGGAGGCAGCTGTTACACTCTTCGAGGAGTATGTAAGGCTCGGCCAAATAAGATTCGACCGAAGCCTCACACCCTCTGAAGTCTTAGGCTCCCCAGTTGGAATTACATTTTCTGATGGGAGTGAAGCCTCTTACGGAGCTGTACTTTATCTTCGCTGGGAAACAGAGCCTGGTCAGGTCATCGTGAGGCTGGTGGAGTCTAAGGCCAAGCTTACTCCTCTCGACCAGAAGGGGGATGGAATTAAGGCTGAACTGTGCGGTGCGGTAATCGCTACTCGCTTGAAGAAATACTTTGAGAGGCACTGCCGCATCCCAGTTGATCATTGGGTACACTTAGTAGACAGCCAGACGATCCTCGGTGCAATCCAGAAGGACAGCTATGGATACCAAACCTTCTTCGCAAACCGGATCGGAGAAATCCAGAAAGCCGGTCCGGTGGACACCTGGAAGTGGGTTGAAGGATGTTTTAACATCGCGGATATCCTCACAAGGGGCGCGACCCCTGAGGAGTTGGACGAAGACTCTGAGTGGCAGACCGGGCCTCAATTCCTCAAATGGCCTGAGAGTGAATGGCCGGTGAAGACTGCAAGTGAAGTCTCTGCCACGGTCGCTGACGAGACCATCAAGAGGCTTCAAAGACGCGCATTCTCTGCTGTGGTCACAAGGCATCAGGAAAAGAAAAACGACATGAAGCCTCCTGAGCTTGGTAGACCAGGAACCACTCCACCTGTTTTTATCCCTATTCCACGGATGCAAGTCGTGGCCCTTGTGCGCTTCATTGGGCCTGGGAGATTCAGCTCCCTCACAAAGCTGTGTGGGACGGTTGCCTGGACACGTCGGGCGGTGGAGGCTTGGTTAGGAGGCAACCACCAGACCACAGTCAATAGGAACCCCAAACCCAGTCTTACAGCTGTTGAGAGAGCAGAAGCCTTCCGATGCCTTGTCCTTGAAGCCCAGGATGGAGCTGAAATACGGGACTCAACTCTTGACCGACTCGTGGTCCGGACCGATGAGGGGACAGGACTCCTGCTCTGCGGAGGACGTATTCAGTCCTGGAACGAAGGCAAAATTGCTATTCCTCTGGTCCCTATGCATACAAGACTGGCCACATTGCTGGCCCTGGAGGCTCATGAGAAGAATCATGAGGGGGTCGCAGCAACTCTCCTGCGCACTCGGGAAAGAGCCTGGATAATACAAGGCCGTCGAGTCGTCAGAAAAGTGATAAATGACTGCATCCACTGCCGAAAACAAAGAGCAAGAGTATGCCAGCAAGTGATGAGTGACCTCCCGTTGGAACGCACACAAAGGGCAGGCCCTTTTGAGTATACAACCTTGGATCTATTTGGCCCCTATGAAGTCAAAGACGCAGTCAAAGGGAGAGTGAGGAAGAAAGTCTGGGGAATCATCTTCTGCTGCATGGCTTCAAGGGCAGTCCATGCTGATGTATGCGATGACCAATCATCAGAAAGTTTTCTGCTAGCCTACTCACGCTTTGTTTCTCTAAGGGGCCATCCACGTAAGCTATGGTCCGATAAAGGGACAAATTTCATCGGGGCTAAACCCGCCCTGAATGAGCTCCAAAACCACCTACGCTGTGTTCAGACGTCATCTGTTGAGGACATCGCTTCCAAGAACGGGACGGACTGGGCGTGGAGCTTCCACCCTGCTGATGCGCCCCACCGAAATGGAGCAGCAGAAGCTGCCGTAAAATTGATAAAAAGAGCCCTAACGAGTTTGAAAGGAGCAACAGACCATCTCACCTGGGGTGAGTTCCAAACTCTACTGTTTCAGGCAGCCAACCTGACGAACGAGCGCCCGATCGACGCCCACGCTCAGGAGCAAGAGGAGTCCATCGACTACATTACTCCAAATTCTCTCATCCTCGGACGATCCTCAGTGGGAGGAGACACAGATGGACTTGATCTTGTCACTCACCCCTGGCGCAGGCTGAGGAACATCCACAATTTAGTGGACAGATTTTGGACCAAATGGAAGGAACTAGCTGGTCCTAATCTCTTTGTCCGTGAAAAGTGGCATACGAAGCAAAGGAATGTCAAAGAAGGAGACGTTGTCTGGATCGTGGACCCTAATGCTGTCAGAGGGCAATTCCGCTTGGGCCGAGTCACGGCCACAAGACCCGACAAGCACGGAGTCGTCAGGGACGTTGATGTCAAAGTTTGTGCCGGACTCCCAATGATAAACACTGTGAGGAAAGGCAGGACACATCTACAACTCCCACCAACCATCATCCTGCAAAGAGATGTAAGGAGGCTGGTTGTGCTTATTCCAGCAGAGGATTTTACTCCAGCTGCAACTCCGTGACGCGGACTCCAGCTCCAGTCAAGACCCTTTTAAGTTATTATTTGGCTGGTTGGTGTAGGCGGATCGCTGCCACCATGCCCACACAAAATGCACACAGTACATACACGAAGATGAGCATCCACACCTCATAAAGCCACTGACCCGCTTGAGGGCCATGATTGACTCTGGGACTATGCTCTTCGTCGAAAAAAGGAGGCAACATTGGACAAAAGTTCGCCCAAAAACGTAAAAAAAAAAAAAAAAACCTATTTTAATGTTTGTGAACTTTTCACTATTGTCGCTGAATGGGGCCTTTTCGATTATGTATTGGTGTAAGTTCCCTGGATGGGACATCGGGAACTTAAGTGGGAGGTGTTGGATTCACCTGGCGCTTTTGGATTCACCTGGCGCTTTAAGAGGGGCGGGGCTGCCACTGACAGCTGACCGTTCGCGCAACATATAAAAAGCAGCATCGCATTATGTTAAGTTAGTAAATACACTCGCTTCGTCGTCGGCATGGCCCAATGGTAAGCTACGTGTGTGCTTTACCAGACATGTAAAGTTGGCTTTTAGATTCGATCATGATCATCGGTTGCTTTGTTTGTCTGCTTTACATTGTGTCCGTTGTGCTTTATGTTTGCCGCATCGCTATGCAATCACTGTCAGTTACCGTTCGCAATCGGCAATTTAAACTTTAAATAGCTAAAGTGTTGCTAGAACGGTGGTTTCTTTATTTGGATCATTTTGCATAGTTGTCATGTTTGTCCGGCTTTAAGTAATTTGCGTTGCAGCTGGGCTTAATCATGCCGGCGCTCCACTTCCGGGTTGGACCTCTGGGACTTGTAGTTCTTTTGTTCGAGTCGCCTTGATATGTTTGGTTTCTTACGTTTAAGATAATAATGATGACGATAATAATACACAGTGAAATCATGGTTGATTAAAGTATTTATTAAACATGTTGTTAAAATAAAAGTATTAATTAATGTCAATTGTATACATATTTACATCGTGATGCAGAAAGATAGATATATTCATTTTTTGACTGCATTTATGTGTGCTTTAGGTTATTACCTGCTTCTGCTACTGTTTCTGATACTACTACTACTACTACTGCTGCAAAGAGCTCCAATAAATGTGTCAAAAACGTACAGAAAGAGTGATCCTTCCATGCTGACCGACGATCCCTATTCAGAGGGCCGTGAAAGAACGGAATTAACTGAACATGCACCATGTATCAGAGTGCAATCAGCCCCCAAAATTCAACTTTGGTCTCATTTGCATTATTCCTGACACGGCAAACTGTTGTTTCTTTTTTTTCCCCCAACATGAATTTCATCTGGAATGTTTTACTTGTAGTTACTCTGTAGAAACAGTCTCTTACTGTGTATTTATTTCTGCAGTGTTTCTTAGTCTTACAACTCAACTCAATTTAACTCATCTGTCTTTATAGAGCAATTTAAAACAACCACTGTTGTAAAAATAATTTCTACAACAAAAAACAATAAATTAATAACAAAGACAAAAGCACAAAAATAGTATAACTAAAAATCAAGTCTCATGCTTCGTCAAAAGCCAAAGAATAAACATGATTTTTAAGATGAGCTTTAGAGATGGGCATCTAGGGGGCTTGCCGAACATTCAGCGGGAGGTCATTCCAAAGAAAAGGACCAGCAATGGAAAAAGTTCAATCTGAACCTCTGAACCTCCACTAAGTTCTTGGATAGTTAGCTCCGTTTCATAAAACGAAAGCACCAAGACTGACCTCCTTGAAAATGATCGATTTTCATTTCTTCTGCAAGCATGTTTTTCCTTCAGTACAATGACGACTGTTGAGATGCTTCTCTTCTTTGATCGTGAATCCATTGCTCGAGTTGGTCTTCCAACTCTGGCCACCTTGCCTTGTTTACACGGAAACTCAGCTTTGTCTTCTTGACTTGGTGAGGCTCGTTGTCCTGCTTCTCCACTTGCGAGCCATGGATTTGTTTCTCTTAGATTCTCTCACGGCAGCTTGATTGCCATGTTCCTCCACGTAAGTGATAGCTTGAATTTTGAACTGTGCTTTGTCGGCGTGTCTCTTTATCGGTGCCTTTTTGGGGGTTCTGAAGTTGTTTTGCCCAATCCACGTACCGGCATTATATCCACCTGTTGGTGGGTGTGCTTTCAGCATCCTCTTTCATGCCCCCCTTTCCCCTTAATGTCCCTATGCCATCCTCGGTCATGTCCGCCTTTCCTCTATGTAAGCATGGTGTCCACATATCATCAGACAGTCAAGTCAGTCAAGTGTTCAATAAAGAATTTTTTTTTTTAAAGCATCGTGTTTGTTGACATCGACGCAAATCGGACTGTTATTTCTGCATTGTGTATCAGCCCCTAATCATGGCACCAAAGAAAGCAAGTGAAAGTAGTCAAGCTGGTGAAAAAAAGAGGAAAATAGTGCGCAAAACTATTGCATTTAAGAAAGATTTGATCGTGAAATATGAATCAGGTGTGCGTTTGCCTGTGTTGGCTAAGGAGTTCGGCATGCCGAAATCGACGATCAGCAGCATCCTAAAAAAGAAAGACCATCTTAAAGTCACTGACGTGGCTACAGGATCTCGTGTGTTTAGCAAAAAAAGGCCACAAATATTAGAGGAAGTAGAGAAACTTTTGCTATTTTTATAAATGTGACAGAGAAATCTATGAGCAAAATGGCATCATGTTTAAAGTTTCAGTTAATTTGGGCATGTCTGGACATACTCAGCGCAGAGTAGGCCGTTTGGGCGGAGGGCCTTTTTTTGAGTAATCATGTCAAAGCAAGGGGCGCGAACAGATGGAAAAAGGCTTGACTCAATCACAAAGTGGGAATAAATGAATTGGAAACAAAGAGTTGTTGAATACCAAAAGACGGTTTGGGAACAGCTGTCGGGCCCAGGCGATTTGTCATCAGCAAAGTCTGTGACTTGTGTATTTGGGTAGATCAGATCACTACCGAGGGGCCGGAACGGCGGGCGCGGGATGCAAATCTCGGGGGCAGTGGTTTTCTTGTACTTTGCATATGTTAACAATAAAAGTCCGACAGGAGGACAAGGGACTCCAAAGGGGTGTTCACACGGCAAGATTTGCTCCAGTGCTACGCCGGCGCTGTGCCAGTAGACCGTTCACACGTGCAAATTTGCTCCGGCGTAGCCCCGGAAAACAGCTTACACCGGAGCAAATTTGATCCACCTCAGGGAGGTGGTTTAAAAATTTGCTCCAGAGCAAATGCTCGTTTGCGGGGCAGCACTGATGTAAAATGGTACGTGTGAACGCTACAATTTGCTCCGGAGCAAATGCTCGTTTGCGAGGGGGGAGTAGCCTCGCTACGCATGAGAAGAGTTGATTACGTATGGCGACTACGTACGGCGAGAATGCCTTGCTTTCGTGCTCTGTCGGACTTCCGTCATGTGTTTGTTTAATAACAAGACACAAGACATGGCTGGTAACAGTAGCAAGCACCTCTTGGATTATATCATCTCAACTAGAACGGGGGGGCGTAGTCCCCAAACGTCATCTTTCCTTTTGTAGGAGACTGGACTGTCTCAGAGTTGTTTGTGTAGTTTGTTCCTTTGTTGTGTGTTCACAACCCCCCGTGCCCCATAGAATTTATTTTGTGATTTCCTCTCTTGATTTTTCTGTTTGGCGCATTACATTTTTGCTTTTCTGAGTGTCATTGAAGTCATTGTTGATTTACGTTTTCGGGGGCGGTCACTCTCGAGCAGAAGGCACGGATACCGAGAAGGAGAAGGACGTGCCTGTACAGTAGTTGCTTGAGTTGTGTATACGTTTTAAAAAGAACCCACACGACAGCTCATTGGTTTTCTGTTGCTTTGCTCCGCTGCAGAAACTGCCGTGTGAATGCAAGTGGAGCTGCACCGACGCTGCGCCGGTGCTAATACGCTCAGGGGCTTTGTACGTGTGAACGCTCCACAAAATGTGCTCCGGTGTAAAATATATCGCAACAAAATACATCGGTGCAGCGCCGGAGCAAATGTGTGCCGTGTGAACACCCCTAATAACATAATTAAGTGTGATCACGGAGCAACTAAACCGTCGTTCGCTCTCAGAGATCCACTTCCGCTGAAGAAAGACAATCTTCCCTGTGTGTCGAGTCATTTGTTTAATTTTGTCCGGGTAAATAACCCTTGACAGAAAGAGAAACAACTAGTGGGGACAGTCTTAGCCAAGATACGATTTGTGGCAAAACAAGACAATTGTATGGAGATTTGATGAAAAGGGATCCTAGCTTTGCTCCGGAAGAGTTTGATTTTAAAGCAAGCAGAGGATTGTTCGAAAAGTTGAGGAAAAGGAGTGATTCGTCATGGGGAGGCAGCCAGTTCAGACAAGGAAGCTGCCGAAAAGTTTAAAGTTGAGTTTGAAAATCTCATCAAGGCCAAGGAATATCTTAGCCAGCAAACTTTTAATATGGACAAGACTGGACTTGTGTGGACAAAGTGGTTCAGAAAATGAATTCAGGGATGTTACCTCATACCGTAGCATAGGGTTGCAGAGAGAGTCCATAGATACAGCCATTACTTTAGGGTTTATTAGTTCAAGGTATAAAATAATGTAATCTACAATTGTCACAATGAGAGAGAGAGAGAGCGAGAGAGAGAGAGAGAGAGAGATTTGAAATTTTATGCTACAATGTTAATTTTATGTTATGTTAAAATTGGTAAAAATAAAACATACAAAATGTTTGTATTGTATTTTACAAATTATCTGCTCTTTTATTACATCTGTATAGAGTTTAGAGTGTAAAATTGTAAAAAAAAAAAAAAAAAAAAAAAAGGCTTTCAAAATAGCTGTTTTCCAGACTTGGAACGGATTAAAAAATTTATTACACTAATTATAATGTGAAACATGCTTCGGCTTTTGAACAGCCTTCTGGAACGAATTATGGTCGAAAACCGAGGTATGACTGTATGTGGTTGCAAGTTCCTTTCATCATTCTTCCAGTTGACTTGACTTGTCTCAGTGACTGCATTAGCGGCTCGTAACAAAATGCCATCAAAATGCTCCCTTTGGATGCTGACAGTCTTACAAAGTTGAAGTTCTTTCGGATTCATTTTTAACAAATCACTCAAATGTGCTATTTGAGAGATACAGAGAGAGAGAGAGAGATCTGCCTATCTATATCTCGATATGTATTCTGGAGGAATTTACAAAATCCACTCTAGAAGTAGATTGTTCCGTGGCAATTGCACACTAATGTCCAGTGAGATTTCAACATGCATAATGATGTAAATATCGCTACGTTTTAGCCAATGACAAATAACAATCAACTCGAGTTCAACTGTGATCTGGAAATTTACTCTTTCCTTCCTCTGTGAAACAGCTAAAATAGACTGGAGCAAGTACAACCAGTCTCTGAGCCCTTAGCTTAAATATTAATATAATTTGTATTAGTATTGCAAGTTGTCCTCTTGTCGTCCCTTATTGTAAAATGTGAACAAGCGTTAGGCATCATTGTTCTTTCGCTAGTAAGTACTGTATTTTCCACACTATAAGGCGCACCGAAAAGCATTCAATTTTCTCAAAAGCTGACAGTGCGCCTTACAAATCCGATGTGCCTTTTATTTGGATCAATATTCTAATTTCTTGGACGTAGCATTTTAAATGTTCTGTGAGGCACTTTGTTACAGCTACAGCGGTTGTGAAAGCGCTGTATAAATAAAGCTGTATTGTGTTGTATTGTATTCCCTTTCGCGTAGCTCCGTCTAGTGGATGCATAACACAACCGCAGCCTTATAATGCGGTGCACCCCACATATGTAAACGGTTTTAAAATAGGCCATTCATTGAAGGTGCGCCTGATACTCCGAAGCGCCTTAGTGTGCGGAAAATATGGTAACATTGTTGCGAAACGTGGTGACATCATTTGTCCCACTGGAATTGATAAGGGAATCATTTACAAAAACAGCAAATGACGCCAAGGAATTGAAACTCTGGGAACCGGTTCTCAACAAGAACTGGTTTTCAATTTTTATACCTAATTTTGAGTAGTGAAAAATTGCCATCATAGCCAACCCTTACATATGGTCCTTTACGGTGACATAATGTACGAAAAGAGAGATGGATTCTCACCAATATTTATGTGGACATGTGTCGGTGTGTCCTATTCATAGTCTGAAAATATAAAAATGAAACTTACAACAATTTTTTATTCTATTCACTTCTTAAGCTTGCCTCTCGTCGTTGCCTTGTAGGCAAAAAACATTACAGTGAAACTCCTCTAGAACGAAACCTGCATGGGCGAAAATACCCCCTTATGTGAAAAAATCTTCATGCATTAACACAATTCCCATTCTCCTGCCCCCCATACGACGAAAAACCCCCTGTTGCGTTATACGAAATCATTTTGTCTGCTCCAGCCTCGCGAAGACATTCACTACAACGAAGTCTTATCCAACAGCGACCTCTACTGCTTCGTTTGAAAAAAGGCAACAGCAACCACCACACTGGTTTACATAGTGAACGATGTTTATTTCGGTCACAGCTGCGAGTTTCCTGGGCTCAACATACTCATAGCTGCTCTGCTATTGGCTTACCGAGCATCATCCTGGCCTCCGATTGGCCAAGAGGCCACATAGACCTCATTGTCTATGTGTGTAGATACTGAAGCTAGATCCGTAGCATCCGATTAGCTGCTCAGAGTAAATTGCTTATGGCTCGACGGACATTTACTTTACTTTTTATCATGCTAAAAACACCCACGGGACGCTTCGTAGTCCTCAATGGCCATAGTTAGCTCTCGAAGGCTAAAAACCTTACTGATGCTGGAAGAGAGGGTAAAAGTGATCAAAATGAAAGACGGAGCAAGCAAAATAAAATACATTTTCCAAGAAATTGATGTAAGTGAAAGTGAATGCTGATCGTAAATTTCGCAATTTCTTTCCCTTTTTTTCTTTCTACACTGACAATATGAAGTGTCAAATAAGTGTGTGCTCATACTTATGTACTATTGGAATAAAAATAGAGTACACAAACGTTTGTGTGTGCGTGTACACATACGTTTGTGTGTGTGGGTGTGTGTGTGTGCTTACATCTGAGATCAAATTTGCTACAGTGAAAAACCCCCTGTTGTGAAAAATTTCTTGCTGCAAACATGATTTCGTTGTAGAGGAGTTTCACTGTACAGCCGAGACAGTGAAGGGATCTTCTATTTTTGCAGCTGGAAAGCAGACTCTATTTATCATGACCTTGGAGCATTATTTTTCTGTTCGATTTTTATTTTTATTTTTTTAAGGTAAATTCAAATTTTGTAGCCTTGTTAAAAAAAAACTCTTCTCTGTGTTTTGTCATAATTGACAACACATTTTCTTTGCACTTTAGAGGGAAAATATTACGCGATGTATTTTTTTTAACCCTGAATGCAGATTTTTTTCAGTTGCTTGCTTTGATTTTAGTGAGGTTAGTACATCGTCATCCCCATGAATGCAACTGTGCAAATTCTTAAAGGGGCTTAATACAATAAAAAGACACCAAATATGAAGTAATCACTAAAACCTACCGCATTGTGTCATGAATACACAAAGACCACTTCCGCTTTTGAGAGGGCCACCACTTAGAAAGGTGCAATGTCAGACCCTGTGCACGTCTTTCCACAAATAACCAAGGACCCCCCCCCCCCCCCCCCCCCCCCCCCCACCACATAAAAGCCGAGCAGTCAGTAGTAACTCCGCTGGCAGTAGTAATAACCTTCATTATAAATGCAAGCCATAATACCATGTGTGTTTGTCTTCTTCTGTCGTGCAGACGTCAGTGAAGATGTTCATCCTCAAATTAAAGAGGAGGATGAAGAGATCCCCCACCTGAAAGAGGAAGAGGAGCAGCAATCCCCTTATTTTATAAAAGAGGAGGTGACAGAGAACCCTTGCATGAAAAAGGAGGTAGAAGAGCCCCCGTACATCAAAGAGGAGAAGGAGGAACAGGATATCTGCAAGTTGCCTTCGACTAATGTCTGTTTAAAGAGTAAAGATCAAGGTCAGAGTGAGGAGACCAGAGGGGCGGAGCCTCCAAGTTGTAACTCATGTCAACGCATGATAACAGAGGGTGATGGAGACCGATGTGAAGGATCACAAGCAGATGTCCTCCTGCCCCCAATATCAGATAGTGATGACATGTCATCACACGCTCCTTACGCTGCTGATGATGATGATGATGAAGAGTCTGAAGGTGATATGTCATGTCACCCTGAAAATGAATGCCGGAAATGTTCTCAGTGTGGGAACGCCTGTGCTTCTAACAGCTGTTTAAAAGACACCAGAGAGAAACCTTTTGCCTGCTCAGACTGTGTTCAAAGGCTCTGTCAGAAGGGAATCTTAAGAAGACACATAAGAACACACACTGGTGAGAAACCTTTTTCCTGCACTGACTGTGGCCAAAGATTCTCTCGCAAGACAAGCTTAAAAATACACACACGAATACACACTGGGGAGAAACCTTTTGCCTGCACTGACTGTGGTCAACGATTCTCTCGTAAAACAAGTTTAAAAATACACACAAGAACACACACTGGTGAGAAACCTTTTGCCTGTTCTGATTGTGGGCAACGATTTTCTCATAGGTCACACTTAAAAATACACACAAGAACACACACTGGTGAGAAACCATTTTCCTGCTCAGATTGTGGTAAACGATTCTCTAAAAAGGGACACTTGACAGAACACACAAGAACCCACACTGGCGAGAAACCATTTGCTTGTACAGATTGTGGCCAGAGATTCTCTCAGAAGGGAAGCTTAAAAATACACACAAGAACACACACTGGCGAGAAACCTTTTACCTGTAAAGACTGTGGCCAACGATTCTCTCATAAGACAAGCTTTGAAATACACACAAGAATCCACACTGGTGAGAAACCTTTTTCCTGCTCAGTTTGTGGCCAAAGATTCACTCAGAAGATTAAGGTCAAGAGACACAAGTGTGTGCTCGTAAAAAAACGCAGTCAACAAAAGGCATCAGAAGATAATGTAAATGTGTAACTATTTACCATAAGAATTATTTCCATAAATCTACATAGTTTTATTTAACTCATTCCAGTACCAGCCATTTTCAGATCCTTTTTTTTTTACCTTGGGGAAAAATAAATGAGTGTCTGCAATTGAATGTGTGGAGTCTGGAAAGACGTATAAATATGTTTGGGAATAAATGAGTTTAATGCACCATCTATTTTATCTTTTTGTCATCTAAAGGTGTGTTCACACGGCAACTTTTACTCCGGTGTAGCTCTGGGGGCTGCCCCCGTAGAGTGTTTGTTAGGTTTATGCTGGTAATCAGATGCTAAGAACACATCAGGAACAGGAAGACTCAGGAGGCAAGCATGGTTGTCTTTCTTGCAAGAGAAAGCGCGCTAAAACATGTCTCGGTTCACAATCTCAAAGCAGCTCTCCAGCTGGCTCTGCAATGTAAACCGTTACAGGTTCCGGGGCAACTCTGAAGAGTGCGCGTTTGTCTCCTTGCATTTATTGGAAGGATGTCCCTGATACACAATCTACTAACGGGAGTGGGGAGTATTTTCACATTCCACAACAGTTTCAGTAAAGGAGAGTTTCAATGAGAACACACCCGGTCCGACAAGTCTACCATTATCAACCTACCCCATTGTATATGAGGTATTTGCGAGGTATCACTCTGAAACAGGTTTTAAAGTTACACAGAGAGTAAATATGGGATAACAGAATCACATTTATTCCAACATCTCCCTCCTATTTATCACTTATTTACCTAAATTACATTTGTCCAAGTTCAAACACTCAGCCACATCAGTCAGATTTTCTACAGTAGAAACACTTTCATCAAAACAAACACATTTACATTCAAGCAATGTTAAACCCTTTTGACAGTCATCCGTCCCCTTGATCTAGAAACAAATTGGGCAGGTTACAATGTACCTCATTAACGTCATCATCGTCATTGTGATTGCCCATCATCGTCAACTTACACAGTTCCTGGGGGTCATCTCCCTTACCTAATGCAGTCGCGATCAAGCATCCTATCAAAATGCGAAGACAAAGTATGCAGCATCATCCACAGAGCACGAGCAGGGCTGCAAAACACGGCCACAGACGCAAGCACTGACAATATCAGACCTCTGAACTCTGCCAAGGGACCCAGGGGACCATCTCGCATGGACGTGTCAACCCTGTTGCGTTTGTTCATCCTGGCGTTCAGGGTCCTCAAGCCCTCAACGGCTTGGGTGAGCTGGCAAACTGGAGCTGTGACTGCGTCACAGTAGCTTCCAAACAAGCCACACGTGCCCCTTTCACTGTGCCATCCACAATGCCTGGTGCTGTCATGCGGTTCTGAATGCCATGAGAAATGCCATAGCCAATTGCTCATGTGCTGTTCTTTGTGCTGCTCCCGTATAATTACCTAATCGCTGTACGATAAAATGGACATAATTATATCATTATTTTTCATATCAACACTTTCGTTTGAAGTTCCTGGAAACAGGACCGCAATCATCGGGTATTCTCAAATCCCGTTATCACTCGATCAGCCAATTCATATTCATCAGGAACTGTATATATGCCAATTTACATCAAAGTAAGGTGGATCTGGACCCCAGGATATGCATCAAGTTATGTTATTTTCACAAATTGAGTTGTTAATTGTTCTCAATCAATTTTCAATACAAGAAAACAAACAAAAATGTCACAATAGTGCATGCCCCTCGAGAGCATACGAATACTGTGTCTCTAAAAGTTGTGCATTCCCATACCCCCAACAGGTCGGCTCTAATTGCCCAAGGGAAAGAGGAGTATGTTCTTTGTGACAAAGTAGTAACTCCTATTGACAAAACTGCTGCTTGCACCACTTTGACATGCAAAACATATCATCACAAATCATTTAATGCTACCTCATTTCTCAAAATACATTTGGAAACTTCCGTGTTGACATCAGCTCGCAAAAAAACGTGTTTCGCCTTGATACAATTTCAGTTAACAATGTCACTTGAAGTTAAACTCAACATACACTCGAACAGTATTTACAATGGAACCCCTCAGCAGGGGTCTTGGTCCCTGGCAGATAAAACAATCTGCATTGGCCTCAGCTCTGCTCAACTTTAAAAATCAAATTCTTATCACAGACTGGAGCAACTATTATGACAGCACAACATCATTAACTTTAGATCACAAACAAGAAAAACAAAACTTCCTTTTTTTCTCTCTCTCTATAACGACATGAGCGACTTCTATGGCAATTTATCAAAACAGAACTTGATATCCGCTGTAGTGGGGTTTCCACTTAAGCAGCATAGTTCCATTATCAAGAATTAATTCATACCAAAATAACAAATCAAAAATATTTGTCAGCTCTTCCCGTGAGTTACCAAAACGCTAATATACAGCATCTTTAAATTTAGTCATAATGTAACTTAATACAATGTGAAAAACACAAATCAAAAAACAAAAAATACTGTGGGTAACAATGAAAGCCCTTAATGACATCAGCTGTGTCTTCTAATCATGTACAGCGTCTCAACAAAATTGGCATTGTTTGAAATACGAATACAGTATCTCAGTATCGACAAATACTTGGTCAGGGTGTTAGTCTTTGTTGACTTTGTCCTGTGGACCAATAGCCATCCTCGAGGGTAGTAATTCGAAGATTCGAACTCAAATGTACCACATTTCCCGTAAGGTACCACCAATAGGTATCATAACCTATTCCAGTTATCTGTTTGGTCTTTGCAAATATCTTTATGTAGTAATTAAATAAAACAAACAAAGCAAACCAATGTGTGAAAGGAATTGGAGTATCTGACAAAATACTGCTACGTCTAACCCTGTGTAGAACTATGGTCTGTTTGTTCAACCTTGGGTGGTTCCCACAAATACATCACACAATACAAAAGAATGTTACTATCAAACATACATTTAGCATAAGCACCTCATCTCCTCGCCTCCCTGCTGGGAGACTGAAAGATCCTCCCCACTTTGCTTTTGTGCTTGTTGCGTTTCTCTAACACCTTGATCATGCAATCAGTTTTGCTGGTGTTACACACAATACGATTTTTTTTTTTTTTTTTTTTAAATCAATATAAAACTCACTCCTATAATTCTCATAATTCAATAAAACAAAATGGGCATTGTTGTCACTACATATAACCACTCCTATAATTCTCATAATTCAGTAAAACAAAATGGACATTGTTGTCACTACATATAACACATTTTTTTTTTCAAGTAATTATTTAAACCGTAATTATTTAAACCATAAGTTGATACTATACAACACATCCCCCCTTTGACACATGAATACTCAATGTGTCAATTTGCATCCCATTGGTGTCAGCTTATGGGTAGTATAGGATTGTCTAACGGTCAAAAGTAAGGGCCGCTTGTGAATTTAACTCTGTTGTTTCAAATCTTTTTTTTCTTTTTTTTTTTCTTTTCAATGTCCGGAGCTACCATTGTGTCATCTTTTAAGGCGTCGTTAGTGTATACATATCATGCCGTGATAATGGAAAACTTCTCTTGTGCTGTAACTTTTGCTGTGTCCTCCGCAAAAGCATTTCCATTTAAAACTAAACCCAACCGTGCGTAATTACAAATAGACATTTTGTTTTGGTAGTTGCTCCACTCGCAATCCTACATACATTGTTTGTGTGTCACTGAGCATGAGCTCAAATTTGGAAGGGGTAAAATAAACAATTTCTCTTGTTCTCAGTAAGACATCTCGGTGTCAATAACGTAAATATCCAAGATAACAGTCCCTCTTTCATGTTAATCACGTTGTCTGGTCCTTTATCACAAATATCTTTACAAAGGCCAGTGTTATTTTATTAAATACACTAAGGAGTGGCACCCAAATTTCGTTGTATGTAATACAATGACAATAAAAGCGATTCTGATTAAAGGTAACCAAACTATCATGACTTTGAAGCAGCATGGCTTTGCAGCTTTTATATTCTCAAATTCTTTGAGAAACAAAAAGCTATTGTTTTTAATTTATTCTCATGCTCTTGTATCACTACTGTAGCCATAGTTATTATTTGCAACCCAAAGATTTGCTATAATTTGGAAAGACTAGTGCCGTGCTTGACACTAGAACTTGTTTTTCTTCTACAAAAGGCTTGTGTTTTTGCCTTTTTTCTTTGTTTTGTAATCAGGTCACTTTGTAAGGGTGACATCAATTTGACATTTTAATCATGGGCGCAGTGATTAAAATGATGAACTCAAATTTTGCAATTAAACATGAGTTTTTTGTTTTTAACACTTTAATAATTTTTTTTTCTTCTTGATATATCAAATCCAATAATGATTACATAATTTGGTATACATGCTTTACATAAATTCATCAAATCAAGGACATCATTTGCTTTTTCGTGATTGATTTTGGAACTTGAAGAATTGCTGATTTGCTCTTTTTTTTGTCACAAATCTGGAATTTGTCTTCATTAACTCGGTGTCCCTCTTCAGCTAAATGTACCAATAGCGCTATTGTGTCCTCTCTGCAGTCTGACTCACCTTTTGAGGCAGTCAAATATCAACATATAGAAAATTAGGAGGTTACGAGACACTAGTAAGATGCCCTGTCGCAGATCTGAAAACAATTTGACTAATTTTCTTTATTTCTAATTCGCTTTAAAATACATTTTCTCTCATTGTCACTCCGCATGTGCCAGTGTCACATAAGAATTCCACTGGAGCGCCATTCACCACTAATATGATTATTGGTCTCTCATTTTCCATTATATGAGATTATTGTTATTTATTATTACTCATATGTATCTAAATCAATTCCTTCTCCTTTTCTTCTCTGCAACTTATTTGTTCCTCTTCTTTTAACTGTCTTTCTATTCTTGCAATCTCTTCATCATTTGTCTGTTGCCTTTCCGTTTTTTCTTTCTCTCTCTTTTCCTATCCTTGAATCAACATACCACCTATAAGTCCTCACTAGTTTTCCTATCTCTGCACCTATCTGCCCTCTGTTGTAAATTTGGCTTTCCTAATCCTCAAGCATTCTTGTTTATGGTCTTTCCTCTCTTTATTTCTTCTCCCCTAGCTAAGGCTGTCTTTGTGTTTGTGGTCATTTCATATGCACTTTTCTATTTTAAAAAAAATGTCCTAGGATTTCATTTCAATTATCGGTTGATGCTGATTGCTCTACCTGAATCACAAGTCTGGTGTGTCACTGTCTGTGATACAGGGGTCTCTGTTTCTTATTTCTACACCTTTATTTATTTATTTATTTATTTGTTCATTCATTTTTAGCCCTTCTTTCTGGCTTGGGCCGATTCAAGCCATATTTCTGCTTGTTCTATTCATGCTAAAGGTTGCTTTTTCTCAGGGCAATTTCTTGCCAAATGGCCCTCTTTACCACAACGCCAACAGCCTGACATATTTGAACTTCCTCCTTGTTGTCTGTCTCTCTGTCCACGTGCTGTAAAATCACACCTGCTTCTGTTACCTTTGTAATAAATTTCCTGTCCCTTATCTTGGGAAAAGTTGTCTGTAGACTTCTTTTCCTTTTTCTCTTTTGTAATCTTTGCAGCACGGCGAGTGAAATGTTCACACTCCTGCAAGGTGCCTGTAGGCAGACCCTCGTAATGTTTGTTAGCCCAAATGCAAATTGTACTTTTGGAACTCGCATGGCAAGTATTCTTTAACTTCTGTTGAAATGGCCCATTTACATCTCCATCTTCCTGCAGGCCAGTGGGAATCTGAAATACAGTTGTCATTCTCACTCTGCATTCCTCAAAATGCTCATCATCCTGTACATGCAACATTGATTGTTCTTTTTCCTTCTCGGCCTGTTCTCTAATTTCCTTTTCACATTTATTTTCCTTTCTAATTTTTCTTTATTCTCTTTTTTTGTTTCCTGTCTCCTAATTTTTCTTTATTCTCTTTTTTTTTGTTTCCTGTCTCCCTCTTCTCTTTCTGAGGCGATTTTTATCCAATATTCTGTTTCCTGAAAACCATTTTTCTTCATCTCTTTATAATCTTTGCTCGTCTTTCTATCATAATTGATTCCTGTAACTTAGCTATTTTCTGTGTATTTAACTGACCATTGAAGTTATATTTAGTTATCCATTTATCCAAATATTTTAATCAAGATCCTGTTTCTCTACATATTTCCAATCCTTACTCTGGAGTGTATCCCTAGGTTTAATTTTACTACTTACTTTACCCATTTTATCCCAATTTGGTCCAGTATCTCAACACATAGGGTGTACTCTAATAACTGGATTGGATTTTATCAGCAGGACAGCAATTCAAATTCCCTATTGTGGTAATTCTCACTTCAACCTTTTCAGGTGGAGAATTCTTGCATATTGCATCCACAACAGTCTGCTGTTTAAAGTCCTACTGTATTACATGGGATAAAATACCTAGCGGTATTTATAATCCCCAATCACACCGTACATTCACACAGGGAACGGTTTGCGCAATTTTTACACACACTTTTTTCTACAGAATTTCTCAGACTCTGCCGTCTATCATTTACCACCTGTGTGAACGGTGTGCGCAACGTTTACACAGGCTTTTTTCCACAGAATTTCTCAGACTCTGCCGTCTATCATTTATCACCTACCATTGACTAGTATTCATAGGGTTTTAAACACGCGCTTCTCTTTTCCACAGAATTTCTCAGACTCTGCCGTCTATCATTTACCACCTACCATTGACTAGTATTCGTAGGGTTTTAAACACGCGCAATGAACACTCGTCATTCGCCTTTTCCAAAAACAATGCTTACCCTCTGAGTCCTCTCTCTTCGGTCCCCTCAGTCGT